GATTCACTAGTCTTCATGGGGAACTCATCCATTGCCCCTGGTCAGAAGCTTTCTTCTCTCGCATCTAATAATGAATGGGTGTTCCCGGCAGACATTTTAGAACAATTTCCTGAGCTCATCCTTATTGATCAACCAATTGATGCTCTAGACTCTGCGCTTTGGATTCCTTTACCAACCAGATCCTTCTTAGTAAGCCATACTGTTGGATGGCTCTTTCTGCGCTTACCTCGGCAAAACACACTTGGTATGGAACTCTTTCTCAATTCCAAGATGCAAATTCACCTTATGACTTGCGGTACAGAATCGCCTCCCTACTCTTGACCAAAATTCCATGCAAACTGTCTCAGACTCCAAGCTCTATCATTTGTGTCAATCAATTGATGAACATCACGAGCACCTATTCTTCGAATGCTCATGTGTCCGACCTATTTGGAGGCATCTTTAATATAAATGTGCAATACTAAATCATGGATAGATTTTGTCAGCTGGTCTTCAAATCACTGGAGGAATCGATGTTTACAGAATTCGATTAATAAAACTAGTGTTTCCAACCACAGTGAACAGGATCTGGACAGAGTGCAAAAATGGAGCTTTTAAATCTCAACGATGTTCCCAATCTTCATTTTTGAAACATACAACTAATATGGTGAAGCAGCGATTGATTTCCATGAGGGCGAAGGACTCCGCTGTTGCACGAAGACTGATTTCTGAATGGGATCTTCCGGCGTCGTTCATCAGGCCACCGACTGAACCTCTGGATTGATCAAATTGAGGCTACAATGTTGCCTCACTGAATGGTACCGAATTGGTGATGTTGGCTGAGACATATATTGTCTAGGGCTTCTAGACTTCGGGTGTCTTTGTTTACTTGTTTGGTCTGGGTGTATGTCTGGCCCATGTTTACATGTCTGCCCTTGTTAGGCTTCCTTGTAATTAATGTTCACAAATATATACATTTTACCTTCCACCCAAAAAAAAAAAAAAAACGCTGAAAGAGCCTAAGAGCAGTGGCAGCAGGCTAGTTAAAGCCCACTTTTGGCGATATAAGAGTCCAAAGCAGCCGCAACGGGCTAGCTGAAAAGGGCGGGGCCCACTTTGCCTCGCGAGCGGGCTTTTGGTATTCAACGAGTTGGCCTGCGATCGTTGTATATTTTTTTTGTTTTTCCCTAATGCAAAACGGCGTTATTTTGCAGAGCCCTTTTTTGTTTTATTTGTAACGATCCTGAAACAGTGCCATTGGCAGAATATTTTTTTTTTTTAAAAAAAAAAAAAAAAACCTAAAAATAAGTTATTTTGAGCTCATTTTTAAAAAAAAAAAAAATTAAAATAAAATTCATTAAATAAAAATATATTGTTTAGGCACTATTTGTCCCAAAAAAAAAAAAAATTATTTGGGTCAAAAATAAATTAAAAAACCTTTTTTTTTTTGTTTTCTCCCCTTAAAATTTGGTTTTTTTTTTTTTTTTTTTTTTTTTTTTTTATAAATTTTTTGGCTTTAAATTTTAAATGTGTACCATAAATAGTGTATTTGGCCGTTAAGGCACTGTTTGGTTAACACAAACAGTGCCTTAACGGATATAATTTTTTTTAGAAAAAAGTTTAAAAATTTAAATTTTTTTAACTTTATTTTTTTAAAAAAATTTAATTAAAAATTTTAAAATCACTTCTCTTCTATAAATACCCCAACTCCTACCATCATTCATCACATCTAACCCATCTCTATTACCTATCATTCAACTTATTTCTTATTCTATTTTCTCAATCTTAGCTATTATTTTCAAACTCATTTCGATTCCACGGATTCTCGACATCTATTTTATTACAACACCCAATTCAACTCATCAAACGATGAGTTTTTGTCATTTCCTAAAGACAATATCAATTATTATGGAGGATATTCTCAATTTCCTTCTCATCAACCATCCCAACCTTCTCATCAACCATCCCAACCTTCTTATCATCCATCCCAAACTTCTCATCAATATTGTAGTATTAGAGTTGCATAATCAAGTAACTCAAAACCCCTGCCAAAACAACTGGCTATCCGACATAATAATTGCACTAAGACTGAAGATGAGACTTTATGTTGGGCGTGGATGTCCGTTACCTCTGATGCAATTACGAGGGCAGAACAAAGTAAGAAGAAGTTATGGGAGCGAATCCTAGAACAATATGTACAATATATTGGTGTTCCTCCAACTGAGCGAAATGATGGAAGTTTGATGAATCGTTGGTCGGAGATCCAATAAAAAATGAACAAATTTTCTAGGTGCATGACTACCATCGAAATGAATCGTCCCAGCGGTTTTAGCAGTGATGATATGGTAAGTTATTTATTGTTTAAATATAACTCGTAAATATTTTAAATAGTCGACTTTTAATTTTTTGTTAATTTTTGTCATGTAGATGATAGCAGCTAAAGACCTGTTTCGTAGCCAAACAGGTAGTGAATTTAAGTTAGAAAGTTGCTAGGAGATTTTGAAGTATAACAATAAATAGCATTCACATTGTGCCAAACAAGTAAAAAAAGGAAAAAAGAAAAAACAGCCGAAGAAGAGGAGTGGATTTGACTTTGACATTAATGAGTCTGTTGGGCACTCATTACCATCTACTTCGTCAAGTCATGTAGCCACGACAGATGGAGCTTCAATTGAAGAATCACCACACATAGGAGAAAATGATTCACCCAGTGTGGAAGAATATCAACAACTACAAAGACCAGAAGGAAGAAAAGCAGCGAAGTAACGCTGAGCAAAAATTAATTTAGCGAATGAATTACAAAATTCATTCGTTTCGAATTTTAATGATCTCACCAGCCGTTATGAGAGTCGTCAGGAGAAAATGAAGGATGTCAAAGTGGCACGAGAGGTAAGAAAAATGGAGAAAGAGAAGACGAGGCAGCTAAAGATTCTAGAAAAATAGAGACTTGAAGAGAAAGGATCATGTTAACTGATTCAAATTCAGCACCAAAAGAAGCGGGGAAAGCTTGGATTATTACACGACAAAATGAGATATTAGCATATTTGAATTCACGGTCCACCCCAAAGTTCCCATAGGATTTTGTAATCCTTGGTCTATTTATTTTCTTATTCTAATTTAGGATATTGTATTTTTTAAGTTATTTTAAATTTATTTATTTATTTATTTATTTTTTTAAATCCATAATGGATAATGTATTGTTTTAAGTTATAATATCAATTGTAGTTTTTTTAATAATTTGTAAAAATATTGCCGTTGAGAAAATATTGTCGTTACAAATATAACCGTTAGTAATATTGCGATTAAAAGTATAGCCGTTAGGAAATTTTTTTAAAAAAATAATAATTATATATATATATTTTTTTCTGGAGAGCGAAAATTCGGAGAGCCTGATGGAGTGCATGTTTCTGGAGAATAAAAGCTGTTGACGTGGCTCTTGAAAAAGTTGAAGTGACATTTTTAGAGAGCCAAAATTTAGAGAGGTTAGTGTAGATGGCCTAAGAGCATCTCCAATAGACTCTTTAAAATTAAGCTCTCCGAATTTGCCACATCAGTATTTTTCAATAGTTACATCAGTATTTCCTATAGCTACGTCAGCGTTTTAGAGTCTCTAAATTTTAGCTATCGTATGCACTCTAATGGTGCATTTTTTTTAATATTTTTAAAATTTAAAATAAAATTTATTTTTTAACTTTTTCCTAATGACTTTATCTTTCATATTATATAAACAACTATTTGTTCATCTCATCATTATTACATTCATCTCAACTTATTCTAGCAAAATATCAATTCACGTCTCTTTCAATCTCAAAATTCCAATGACTTCCTCATCACGATTTTTTCTTTTGTCAGACTCTAATTCTTCATCTTCTTCATCACTCTCTTCATCAGATAACGTTATTGACTCAATGATTCAACATAATCAAGATGCTTTTCTTGAGATTTTGAATTCAGTGAACCCAGATATAGTAGATTACGTTTTAAAACCACGTAAGAGGTGGTACATTCATCGTGACCGAGAGAGAAGCCACCGTCAACTAATGAAAGACTAATTTGACGAGAATTGCACACATGCATCGGAGTACTTTCGCAAACGATTTAGGATACACGAGAACTATGATCAGAGCAAAAGAAAAACTTTTTGCTCAGAGACAAGAGGCTTGTAAGAAAGATGTGGAATGAGCTTTGGGGGTCTTGCAGAGCAAGTGGGTAATAACGCAAGGACCAGTGTGTTTTTGGGATAAAAGGAACTTGTGCCTTATAATAAAAACGTGCATCATCCTTCACAACATGATCATTGAAGATAAGTGCCATGCCAATGTTAGAAGATGGACTTCGCCACCAGAGGAGACAATCTCGATTCCCACTTTAATTCTAAATCCATCAGTCTTAGCGGTACACATCTACTCTCGCCAAGTCCAAATTTGCAACAAAAAGACAAATACGCGGTTGAGGAAAGATTTAATTGAAAATTTGTGGAACCGTTTTGGTGAAGAACGTGTTTAATTTATGTTGTATTATTTTATTTTTAAATTGTTATGAAGTTTATGTAATAGAATAGTTATTGTGTAATATTTTATTTTGAAATAAATAATTAAATTGTTTGTTGATTAAATTATTTAGCCAATATGTATGAAATCTTGATTAATATCATTTGATTTATTAATTTATAGTGAAAACAAAGATGTATTTTTTTTTAATAAAAAAATCATATTTGAAATAAACCATGAAAGGTTTTTTTTTAAATAAATAAAATTCAAAAAATAAGTTTTTGTGCCAGTATAGTCGTTAAGGCACTGTTTGAGTCAGTCAAATAATGCCTAAAACGGCTATATGTCAGTATCTCTATTTTTTTTTAAAAAGTACTGTTTGGGTCAGCCAAACAGTGCCTTAACGGCTCTTTGGTTCAATTATTTTGAGGGAAAAAAAAAAAAAGTCAAAAATTTTTTTTTTTTTTTGACAAACATGCCCTTAAGAGCAATATCCTCTGTTAAAACACTGTTCGGACCGGAATAAAAAAAAAATTGATATGAGCGAATTGCCAAGGGATCGCTGAAAACAGCGATCCATTTCGCGACCCAATAGATAGGGACAAATAGCCAGAGGGTCCCTGCCATTTTGTCCTTCTGTACAAGCATTGAACTTCGCGTCCGCAGTTGCTTTACCAAACCCTATCTTCGCTCTCCCGGCAAGAATAAAGACAGATCTAGTAGGAGATCTGATGCAGAACTTTCATTTCTTTCGTGAACTTCCCTGCCATTTTGTTCACCAGCTATATATACACATAGAGAGGGAATCATATATGTATTTGGAGAGAGAAAGGGGTAAGAGGGAAAGGGAGATTTGCCCACAGGAAATTGTGGGTATGGGTGGCTTGGCAAGGAAAACCTTTGAGTAGGTAAAAGAAATATCCTTGCCCAAACCACCCATTCCTGTGATTTCATGAGGTGTCTCCCTTCCTTTCTTGTCCTGCTTAGTTCTATCTCATCTCATCCTGTGCTGCTCTCTTATGGTAACCCTTAGATCTGTCTTTATTCTTTTTTTACTAATTGCTTGGTAGTCGTTTCTACATTATTTTTTCTTCTCTGTGATTAAATCACATTGTGGTTGTTGAAGGGTCTTTTGTCGATTCGGGGGTGATGTTGGGATTAAAACAATCAGGTTTTTAAATATCGATGAACAGGGAGTTATGGGTCATTGATTTCAGATCTTTGTTTACCATCATGTGATACTTTTTGCAAGTCATAGCAACTACTAGTATTATATTGAAATGTTCATTTTTCATTATTTTATTTATTTTTATAACTTATGCAATATAAAGAATCTCAACACAGGACCGGCTGTGTTTATCAGCCGGTGATGGTTTCAATTTTCTCCCACATGGTATGACTTGAATAGCATGATATGTTATGGATTTGATGGTTTCAAATATCACCTATGCCATAGACCAGTTGATTTGTTTGGACAGAGACAGAAAAGAAAAATGAATCATTAATACTTTCTATCTAGACACAACTGGAAGTTGTCCATGAAGTTTGGTGGAGATTAACATTTTTAATTTTATTTTTTATGAAATTTCCTCAATGAATAATGCTTGTTTTCAGGTTTTATTTTCATATTAAATCTAATGATTATATATATATATATATATATATATATATGGCTAGCCCAATGCAACGCAGCCTTATCTCCGCACACTGAGAGGCTGTTTCTAGTTTCGAACCCGTGACCTTCAAGTAACATTGCACCAAGGCCTGCCCTCAATCTAGTAACTTAATATTTTGTTTTACTATTTGAAAATAAAGCAATTGTTACGTCATTTGGTTTGTTTAATTATAAGGTTTCTAATTGTTTAACTCTAACAAGTTGGCTTTGGAAGTCTCTCTCTCTTTAAATTTATTTATTTATTTATATTTTATTTTTTTTGTAGTGTGTGACATGTGAATAGGAACATTTCTTGTCGTTGGAATCACTAGAATTCCTTTGAGGGGGGTGTGTGAGTATCAATAATTAGTAGGGGGTTCAAAGTGACGTGCAATTGTTAGATTAATTCAAGGGGGTCACACTGCATGCAATTGTAAGATTAGGTCATTTCATAAACCTTGAAGTTGAAATCATGATGTCCATATTTGACGCTTAATCTAGTTCACTGAATTGTATCTGAAAGTAACCCATTAGAAAAGCTTAGACATATTCAAGGGGGTCTGTTATTTTTGTCATTTGGAGAAACTCATGTGAGCAAGCATGCGATTATATGCAAAGATCATGTGAACTTTTTTCTATGGTATGAGATGACTTGCTTTCTGAATTAATTGTGTTAAAAGGAGTGGCCTTGTGATGCAACTTTAAATTTAAAAGAAAATTTTATTTCTTCTCAAATTATATCTCTAACTTAACTTGTCAAAACTGTTATTTCCTAAAAACTTGTTATAACTGTTTCCAGTTTTCATGGTTGCTTTCAAAGCAAATCTATACAGGTCCTTGGACATCTATTTGGAAGGAAGTTGTGGAAGCAACAAAATAGCTTTGTTTATATTATTGCCTTTGTTGATGCTTTCATTTTGTAAATCACATCTTATCATTTAAAAGAAGCTTTTTCATTTATTTAGTTTTAATTTAATTAACTTCTTTCATTTAACTATCTGGAAAAACCTTGGAAGTTGCAGTTGAATTTGCTGAAAATAACTGTTATATGAGCCAACACAATATTGTTTCACAATAGCTGCTTGAAGATATGACAGGTTTTAGCTTAAACAATAATTTTTAACAGCCCCTCTTTTCTGGATTTGGGTTCAAAATTTTGAGAGTAAGCCTTATGTTGGATCTTAGTAGCAGAGCACGAAATGGATCAGGTTTAGACCGAAATTTAATCTGATCAGATCTGATCTTATCTGAATTCTATTGCACTGAGGTTGGCTCGTAACTTAAGCCTATTTCGCCGATCGTATTCAACTAAAGGTCCATTGTCACTCATACAAAATGTATGGGTTGGATATGGATTCTATCTATACTCTGGACTGGGATCCCAATATGGACCATGAAGCTGAAATCCACTCCATACCATGCCCTACTTGGTTGTCTTGGAGAAATTGATTCAAAATTATAATTGGTGGCTTTCGCTTGGCCTTTTGCTTATATAATTAGTGAACTACCTAAAAGTGTTTAAAGGAATCTTGAATTTGACATTTTGGACAAAATTTCTAAAATCTATGTAAATGTGAGATAATGTTGACCTAAAAGTACTTATTTTTCACATTTTGGACGAACTTTTCTTTCAAATTTGTTTCTACTAAATTGTACAATTTCAATTTATGTTTGATCCATTGTCTCTGTTTGCACAGGTTGCCTTGATCGCCATATTTGTTTATTGTGTATTCACTGTCAGAATCAAATATGAACTCAAATATAATTTGATAGTAAATTGTGTGTGTATAGTTATTAGTACAGGGTGTTAAATCTTGTTTCCCTGAAATTTTAAGAAGTACTAGGGGAGTACATATGAAATATCCAAGGCTTTCCCATATGTTAGACCCTAGGAATCTCAACGTAATACATGCTATGAAATTATCTCTGCTAATTACCTTCTGAATATGTGAATGCAAAGCACTTGTCAGTTATGAGGGCTTAGAATATTATTGAAGTTTTTCTTCCTTTTTTGGTTTTGTGAGAAAAATGGGTTGAACTGGTTAGCGTCTGGCAATGGGTATTTTGGGTTGAATCTGCATTATGTTTTTACTATTTGGACACATTTGAGTTGAAAATCGTAGTTTAGATTGCCTTTACATTGTAGTAAGGTCTGGAGCAAAAATCCATCAGTTGTTAGAGTTTCGTTTCTATAGAAATTTTTGGATAGATATAAATTTCTTGTCCCTCAGTATATTATCCGTGGAAGTTTTGTGTTTATCCTATCATGTCTGCATTCAGAGATTAATGGCTTTGAAATGGAGTCTTATATCAACTTCCTCTTTCAATCAATTAAGCACTTGGTTGGACCTATTTTCCCACTTTGATGAATTTAACATGCTTAACAATTAAGTATTTAATCTTTTTGGCAATATTGTGGAGAGAATTAGGCTAGGCTTGCTGTTTCAGTGGCTTGAGAAAGGTTAGGCTGAGTTTGTTTTGATGGATATGCGCATAAAGTATTACTTTTGCTTCCAATTTAATAATCTCTCTCTCTCTTTGTTTTTGTTTCTGTTTCGGCAAACTAGGGGAGTGGGAGAGAGACTCGATCGTGGTACACTCACTCGTGGAGCTGGGCGCTCTACCAACTAGGCCACTAGGTAATGTCCTAATTTAATGATCTCTCTTGCTGTTGCATTTTGTATTTATTAAGACGTCCCTCTTCAATGTGTCATCTGGTTTGTTCAGTAAGAATCTATGAAGCACGGACACACCCAGTGCCGTGCCAATGTCGGACACGTGTCTTAACACGTGTCCAATTTTTATTATTTTTTTCAAGGTCGGACACGGCAAAGGATACGATAGACACGCCGACGACACGCTGAGGACATGTCGGAGACACGCCTGTTAGATTTTTTTAAAAAAGAAAAAGAAAAAGAGACAACTGGTCTAGAAATCTAAAGAAGATAAAGAGATTGAGGGAAATGACAGATCGAGCAACCACATGGGGAAAAAGGGAACAAATAGCAAGATCTTCTGTAGGTTTTGTGTTTTACTGACGAAAAAGAGGAAAAAACTTCTTATTTTTCATCCAAAGCTTTCATCAGAACTCTTGGCTTGACTTTGTAAAACCTCAAGATCTCATTTATTGGAAGTGATTTCTTCACTTTGTAAAACCTCAACATCTCTAGTTGGGGCGGCGAGAAGCCAATGTTTGTGCTCTTGTCGAAAGGCTCGTCGTCCGCACGAGATGCCGACGATGTGAGACAGAGAAAGGGAGAGACGACGATGAAATGTTGACGATGTGATGACAGAGAAAGGGAGAGAGAGGACGATGAGGTGTTGACGATGTGGTGAGTAGACGATGATGAGAGAGAAATGGGATAGGATCAAGATTGTGTTATTGTTACCTTATCACCTTAAAAAGTGTGTTAAAAAAATAAATAAACTAAAAAGAATATATTTTTGGTTATAAATTTATATTTTAATAAAATTTGAATTTATGATTTTTATATTTTTTTAATAGTAGTAGGAATTATTTGATTAGTCTAATTTAAATAAAAATAAAAATTTATATATAATAAAAATATATATTAATATTTTATTGACGTATCCTTGCAGTGTCAGTGTCCTAATTTTTTAAAATTTGCCGTATTCGTGTCGTGTCGTGTCGTATCGATGTCTGTGTTCGTGTTTCATAGGTAAGAATCTTGTTGATTACTCCCTCAATATGCTAACAAGAGGGTGAAATTCTCAAGTTTTCTTCCATGGAATCGTTTCACTCCTTGTCAAGTGATTTGTGGAATGTCGCAAATCTCTTTGTTTTGCTCTGCTTCTGCTGTTCCAGTGTCATTCGGGAAGCTGGGCGCTCTACCAACTAGGTCACTGGATAATGCCCTAATTTAATGATCTCTCGTGGCTGCATTTTGTATTTATTAAGACGTCCCTTTTCAATGTGTCATCTGGTTTGTTCAGTAAGAATCTTGTTGATTCCTCACTCAATATGCTAACAAGAGGGTGAAGTTCTCAAGTTTTCTTCCATGGAATCGTTTCACTCCTTGTCAAGCGATTTGTGGAATGTCGCAAATCTCCTTGTTTTGCTCTGCTTCTGTTGTTCCACTGTTTGTTCCTGTTGCTCCCAAACCTGATTTTTTCTTGCCATATTAGCCTTTTCCTAACAGTGGCTGAATTTTGATGTACTTAGCCTTTGTGAAATTTTTAGCGAGCTGATATTGCCGCTCCACATATAACCAAAGGTGCCCAACTTTTTTAATTCAACAATTAAAAGGACTGTTTTTACTTATCAAAAAAATAAAGGGACTGTTTTGCCCTTCTTTCTAAATAAATCTGAGTAATGCAATTTGGCCGGAACTCCTTGGTTTGTTGACAATCAACGTGGTGAATTTACTAACGTCTTTCCCTAGTTGATGAAAAGATTCCGGCCACCGGCTCAATGGTCTCAGGTCTGTCTCTCTCTCATCTCTCTTTTTCTCCGGGCATGGATTTTCTTTTCGTGTTTGGTGAGGGGCACATAAAACGAGTGGGTGAGGGGAGGGATATGGTACATAACAACTCCAAACTACTTGGTTTTTTCTTGAGCCCAATCAACAGTTACAAGTTATGAGATTTTACCACCCACTTGTGTTTTGTATACATGGTTGTTGAATCTGAATATCAGCACATACAATCAAATCTCTCTACAGTTGCATATAGAAAGTTAAAATACTTAAGATTTTGTACCTTCCCTTTGGTCTACTTTTATCTCTCAGACTAGCTATAACCATATGAAAAGCAAGATTATTAAGGTTTTATTTTCAATTTTATGGAAATTCGGTGGGCTTATATGAGTAAAGAGAACTAATGCTCAGCTTTTGTGAAAAAAAAAAATAAAATAAGACAAAAACAAAATGAAACAAAAAAAAAACAAGAACACCCATTTAAACTGATGTGGCTAGATGCTACGGTTGATTGGGCTCAAGAAAAAATTACACCAAGTAGTTTGTAGGTAGTATAGGTAGGTTTTGTTTAGTAGAAGGGTAGTTATGTTATTTCAATTTTTTAAATTTAAAGGTGGAGCACCTGAGGTTAAATGTGGAGAGTATAGGTAGGTTTTGTTTAGTAGAAGGGTAGTCATGTTATTTCAATTATTAAACTTTAAAATTTAAAGGTGGAACACCTGAGGTTAAATGTGGAGCGTCAATATCAACTCTCAATTTTTATATCTTGTTTCCCTTCCTCTCCTCTCTCTGACCTAGCTATTAGGTTTATCTCAACTGAAATAATTGAGTTTTATCAAGGTTTTGAAATGGTAGGTAGCCCAGAAAATCTGGGAAATCTCAAACACTTGTTTGTGGCTATTCTTATTCTCTTCCAATAATATTTATTTTCACTCCCAAAGATTGGTGGGTTGGAATCGTATCATTAGATATAAATATCAGTCTCCAACATATATTTTGCACCATAATAATAAGTTAATTACGCGTGGTATGCAGAAAGTAAGTATTCAACTCGTTATTGTGGTACAAGAGTTAGACTTAATTTGGTACTGGTTGAGAGGTGGGTCCAATTTTTTTCACAGCTTGGTTTGTTTGTGATGTTAATAGACCGACTAACTAGACAGATGGTACAACTTGCAATGTTTACAGAACTCTAAAATTAGTTTATACACAATATTTTGGGTAAATTATATTGACCACTTCTGGAGTTTTAAGTAAAGTACATACCATAAACTGCAATTGTTATTTTGACGTCTCCTAGTAAGTGATTTTTAGTGTAAAAAATTAATAATACTCTTACATTAATTTGTCATTTCATTACAATACATGAGATTATTTCTGTACTTTTTCGAACGCTCTCTACTCCTCTTCTTTTAATAATACTCTTAAATCATATTGGTACAATGCATGATTATGATGATCTGTTTTTTGGGAGAGCAAGAGTGAAAATGTTCGAATTTGATGAAGATTTTGTAGCAAGGATGAGAGACTTCATCATTAGCCTAGGATTGTAAAGGCTTAATTATGGTGCACTTTATTGGCGAGCCAAATATTTCAGTGAGTTGAGAAATGGGACACCAAAAATTCCGAAGCATGTTTTATTTATTTATTTATTTTTATTTTTTATTTTATATGAACTTAGATGATAATATACATATATATTGAGATTAGAATTTTCACCGAGAGACTAGAGAAAGACTCAAGTTTCAAACCAAGATTATGTTTGCTCTTTAGAAATTTCACCAGAGACTCCAGAAGGTCTCAAATTTCAACCCGCAAGTGTATGTTCACTCTTATGAAGACTCTCTACTAAGCTTGCTCTTCCTCCTGTTTTTTTGGTCCTTTAAAATCACCACCACCCACCCACCCACCCACCCACCCACCCAAGTGTCTTGGAAATATCAATCTCAACTTACACTTTTGCTATCTCCAATCTCACGGGCTTAAGACATTTGGTTGGGTTAGTGGTGAGATCCATTGGGCTCACTAACAGTTTGAATTCAATGAATTAATAATTGACTCGGCCTGTTAAACCATGGACTCAATTAATTAACTAATATCAGCTTCATTAAATGAAATTAATTGTACTCCAATCGAAAAGGGATAAATTAATTTGACATAACTTTTACACCAAAGGAAAAGA